GAACTCACTACACGGTCGCAATGATCTCTGAATTGCACTTTAACTTTAGTTTTGAGACTGTTCACCTAAAATAGTCCCTACTGAATGCGGATGAAAACAACTGAATAGAGAAATAAAATGAAAAGAAGATAAAAATGAAAGAAAGAGACGAATGGAAAGTCTCTTTATAATTTACACACAAATAAAAAACAATTTTCTTTGAATAAACAGAACCAATATCAAGATAATGATATTAGAATAAATTACTCCAAATTATAGAGTATTTTAACTGTTTTCTCCTGAACATTAGAGAATATTAGAGAAACACAATTTTCTACTTTACCAGAGTAGCGGGGGAACACACTTTTCCTTATCCTGCTTTGAATAATAAAATCAAGAGTATTTTTTTTCGAGCTAAAGAAAATCAATATTCAAAAAAATAAAATTAATTTTAAAATCTCAATAAAATCTTGACTTATTCTATTTATGTATGTTTGGTACGAACAACAGTTGAATTACATGTCGGACTAGAACATTGTTTGAAGAAACATAACAGACAAATATGAGTGGATATATCAGAGTAGTTCAACAGGCAAAGATGTGTGATCCATTGTTGTGTCTGTACAGTCTTATCTTCCGGCGCTGAACAGTTCGCTCAGCTGATTTCCAGGTCGTTTCCGGTTGGCAGTCATGTGGTCCGGCTGCTTAAGTTTCCGGCAACTGACCATAGACTTTACACCGTTATAGAAAGCATCTCTTAAGATAAGCCTCAATAAAAATGAGAATGAAAGTGTGAATCGACAGGAGAAGCAGGAATAAAAGAAAACTACAAAAAGATAAAAAAAAAAACACTAAATAAGACAGTCAAAACAAAACAAAAAAAAAGAACAAAAGTGCTAAGGTCCTGTGCTTTTTTTTATTTTAAAATTTGCATGGTTCACTTTATTCATATTGGGCAAAAGTAATATTTAAATGCGGCTTAATTTTTGTCCAGTTTTTTCTCTTTCTTTTTAAGCTAAGAACAACTTTTCTATATGAGCCACTGAAACAGCCTTTTCAGTGTCTGATCTGCAATTATGTTTGATAATCGGATATTGTTCAAGAGAAGACACATGCTTGAATACCTTATGTCGCAGATAATTTTAAAGTAGAACGGATTGTGATAAGTCACCACGATTAAATCTCCATCGGAAGTTTTCACTCCGGCGTCTGAAAATACTAAAAATAAATAATAAGCAACCAAAAGACTTCTAAAGAAACGCGACTTTCCCAGTAAAAAGAATTTAGTAATACACGGGAAAGAAAAACTAGAGTTTGTACAATTCAAACCGCTCCGTATTTATAGAAATACAAAAATAAATAGTATTGGAATTTAGAATAATCAATCAGAAAAAAAAGATTAATCAAGTACAGAATAAGAGAGCAATGCATGGCTAAAGAAAGTTAGCGGGCGATGTGTTTCTATGCGTTGTGAGATGAACACGTGTATCTTTTCAAATAGGGCCCACAACAAATATGGCAGACTTGCAATGAGTCTGTAGAAGACCGTGTGGGTTTGCGTGTTGCTGTATTAGAAACACGTGTGTAACTCCAGATACAATATTAAAAAGTCCAACTACAAGAAAATTGCCGGACTTGAATTAAGTTTAACTGAAGATGTAAAGAAGACAAACAAGACCGATATATAAACAAATATATGTATTAAACAAAACAATTTTACAATGGACATATAATATTTGTGTGTGTGTGTGTGTGAACATTTGTGTCTGTTCTTTAGTGAGTGTTCGTACATACGTGTATGTGTGTATAATGTTCATGGCGTCTCCCACAAATGGGAAGACGCGGATCTTCTAAAAGAGCTTACATTGTAGTCGCTGAAATGAAGAAATGAAAAAGAGAACGAGGCGAGAAGTCGCCCAGTATTTATAGTATAGGGAGAGTGACCCCTAATGACAATTTGGGAATTAAAGAGGAGCTAACTCCGACAAGTCCACCCAAAAGAAATGTAAAAGAAAACAATAATTACTGATTTAGGTACCTCCAAAAATTCGTATACCATATGTATTTCTCATAAAGGAAAGCTTTTCCCCAGCTTCAATTGAAAGCCAATGGATTACATTTTCTAACTCCAGAAAAAAAATACTGTGGAGAATTTCAAATAGAAATTTCAGTGATTTTTAGTCGATTCTCCCGAAAAACCAATCGAAACGGCCATTTTTAACCTCTTAGAGAGAAATTTAGACAAAACTTATTTTTACCTTTTTGAAAATCTCGCTAAAATAAGATATACATTTCTGAAACGTTACTTTCGTAAAATTAGTAAATTTAAAGTTAGATTAATCTGTTCTGAAACAAATATCACTTACAGCATACAGTTTTCTAGACAAACATTTCTTGACCTCCATGTATTGTTATTTTTACGTCTCCCATCGATAATTCGATGACTGAATGTGTTGAGAGGTTTAGTAGGGTGCACTAAAATTGACATAACTGTGTTTTTTGTTTCTTATAATAATTTAAAATACTATAAAAATCTGTTACATTATTGAGGTACCTCTATAATAGTATTTCTTTATTTAATAGCTAAGATAATGATAAATAATTTTATTAATTATTAATATTACATTTAGGTTATTACATATTTAATTTAATAACTGAGGTAATAATTAATAAAATTATCATTATATTAATAATTAAAATATCTCACTCAGTTATTAATTGTTTATATTAATAAATGAGATAATTTTATTATCTCAATTTAATTTTTAATTTAATACCTGAGAGTGAGATAAGCCGAAGTCCTTTATATGTCAAGAGGCTTTCCCTAAGGAGGTGACAAGCCTAGAAACACGTGACATTTTAACCATTAAACATTTAACTCACTTACGAGATATAATAAAAAAAAATATCATTTTGACGCACAAAAAAATATCTTCAATTATAGTAAAATGTTTTGGTAGCATGATTTGTATTAAGCTTTTAATTTTCGCTTAGTAAACTTAATGACCTACCGCGTTCTCTGTTTGGAAGAATTTTAAAACATTTTTTAAAATGAAAGAAAAATGAAACACTTAAAAGAAAAATGCAAACAATTCTTGTAAAAATTCTTTATTTTTTTCCTTCAGATAATAATGTCCTTAATGTATATTATTTATAAAAGCAAATAAAAGTCTATCTAAATCAATACTTAGATAGTTTTATTGCAGTTTTTATTTTACGATTTGGAGCAAATTTTTCAAAACGTTGTCAGTAGTTGTGAAAAAAAAATTGATGATTTAATTTCTCCAAGGAGTCCTGCTTAAAAGTAATATAAAACACTTTGTGAACTGTTTGAAAATTTAGAAAATTTTATAAAATTAATTTTGTGTGGGGGCTTGACAGATGTAAAAAAAAACATATTTTTACCAAGATTTTCTCAAAATAAAAATTTCAAAAGTAAATCTATTCATTTTTTAATAAGACCTGAAAGTTTCATTAAAATCAGACAATTATTTGATTTTTGCAACAATTTTCAAATTAATGGGGTTTTCCCCGGAAACCGCTACACTAAAATGGCCATTATCACAAGTAGTATAAACTTTACAAAAAAACAAAAAAAAAAAACGAGATTTTTCACCCAGATTTAGAACGTGTTACAAAGAAGGAAAAAAAATACTTTGTTCTTTCCTGTTAATAAATAACATAAACATTTTGACTATAAAACTTTGTTTTTATTAAGTTTGGGGTCTTTTATCATTATGCTATACGGATTTTTAGCGAATTATTGGAGGTATATATATATATATATATATGTGTGTGTGTGTGTGTGTGTGTGTGTGTACAAACAAATATATGTGTATTAACAAAGAAACAGTTACAAATTACAAAAACAATAATGTGTATGTGTAACAAATAATTGTGTAAAGTTTGCGCTTCAAAAATGCGTAAGTGAATGTGCGTGTGTTCATGGCGTCCCCCCAAAGGGAAAGACGCAAATCTCCACGAGAGATTACATTTTTGAAGTGTCCGCTGAAAAACGAGAATTGGAAGAGGACGAGGCAGGGTTTCTTCATGCATACATAGTGTTGGGAGAGCGTCACCTAGGAACAATTTCAAAATTTAGGAGGAGATAACTCCAACAAAAGGATCAGTAACTACTCTAAGGGCCGAACGAAGGTGCCTATATAGGCGCAAATTGAAAGACCCACCCTCTTTGTTTCACCACATTAATCTGCCAGCACAAAGCAAACGGCATATTTGACTACAAACCCCAGTCAGAGACATCACGTTACAAAAGAACGGAACCGACAAGCTTAAGAGAAATTACTATTACTTAAAGAAGCTCGCTACCGGCTGAAAGGGACCTCTTCTTCAACAAGAACTGTTGACAAGATAATTAGGACATCGTTTCTCCTAAGCTAAGTACGCAGATGCATATTTTCTTCAAACACTTTTTTTTCTTTATTTCTCTTTTTCTATTTGGATATTAAATATATTTAAATAGTATAAGTTGTTGTGTTTCTTTCTCTTCCAAAGCTGTCGCCTTGTTCGTTTGAGCACACATAGCATAGCACTAACTTTCCATAAACTTGGATTTGCATCCAGGCGTACTATCGTGAATAAAATTACCACAACGAAGCCATCATATTTATGAAAAGCGACAAAAAGGAAGATAAACAAGCTCACTGTAATCTACTTTGTAGATAAAATAAACCTATTTATTTCACAAAATTATTAGTGGGCGAATTTCTTTCGATTAGTAAAAAATACATTACAAATCTCAGGAAATACGGAAGCTTACATATACACTCAGATTGACAGTTGGTTATTCACACACCTCCCCAACACAAAACTGACCAATGTCAGGAGACATCATAAAAATTAGCAATAAACCAGAAATCTCTAAAAGAAATGAACATAACTCCCATGGCTGTTTCTTGAAGAAAAAAAAGAAAATTAGTTTCAATTGAACAAGTTAGATTTTGGTGAACACAGAAGAGAACACTTCATGTGTCCGTTCAGTTATAATAAACTTACGACCATACAACACTTGTTCCCATACAATTACCGAAGTTAAGCAATGTCAAGCCTGGGCAGTACCTAAATGGCTGGCCTCTTGGGAATACCAAGATGCTGTACACTTGGTTGTGCGGGTGGTGTAATGGATAACGGCCCGGAATTGAAAATCGGAGAGCCGAGTTCCAGTTGGCTTCGTTAGATTCACTTATGTACAAATACGCTTGGGAAAGTTCTGAATCCGCATCTTCTCCCCAGCTATGGATTAATTAGTAACATGAGCCAATAAATAAAATGCCTGCGCAAAATTCTTGCCACTATAGTTAATGAGGTTCACCCCAATCATTTCACAAAAGTTTAATTTGATTAAACGAAGATTCATCTATCATAAAAATTCATGATGTGGAATTAGGAAATACTAAACACTCCAAATGCCTCAGTGTATGGATCAATTATAACAAATTTAGTATAAAAGATAAGGAAATTGAACATTTGTTAGGTTGTACTAGGAGTAGTTTCATTCAACACTGTAAATTACTACAAAAAAGTAACCTAAAAACTCTAATTGTGTTCTTAAATAGCTTCGTCGGATCGAGCCTTGAATATGGATGTCATGCATGACGCAAAACTCGTTCAGAAATATCTAAATTCTCAGCTATATACCACTGCGTTCTAATATCAATAGCCAAACATGGCTTTGTGTGAGTGAAGCCTGTGTAAAAGATTAATTGTTCTTCGAACATCGTAGGCCTTATGTGGGAGATTTAATGCCGAAATTTAATTTTGTTGGAGTATTTGTAATTTCTTCGACAAAAAATTATTGCTGGTAATTTTCTTTTTACAAAAAATGTATTGGTGGTATATTTACTATAATATTTTTTTTATACTTCCATAGTATTTTAACCCTAAAAGGTACTACTGTTAAATAATATTTAGTTTGGTTTGTTTTGTTTAAACGGCATATCAACCACAATGGGTTATTCAATGCCGACAAAATTTCTTTTTTTTTTTTTTTTCCCAAAAATGTATAGGTGGCAATTTTTTCAGAAATGTATAGCTGGTAATATTTTTTTCAAAAACGTATAGATTGGTTTGTTTTGTTTTGTGGCATATTAACATTAATGCGGACAAGATTTTTTTTTATTTCTGGTAATATTTTCTTTTTTCAAATATTTATTCCTGTTACTAATTTTTTTTTACAAAGTATTTTTGGTATTAAAATCTATTTTTACACTTTCATAGTGTTTTGAGTCAGGTTGTGTGGTCAACTATTTGCCTATAGCTGGGACCCTAACAGGAGCTACCACCCCGGGTCAGGGTGGATCTGGGAACACCAGCAATTAAGGGGTGGTTTCTTCCTCCACAAAAACTCCTGATAAGAGGCCTTGCTGTTGAACATAGTTTATCGTCTTATCCAGGACGCGGATGCAGTTTATCGTTATACCCAGGAAGGTTTAAATAATAAGTTAACAGGCTATTATTTTTAGTGGGGGGAATGGTATTTCTGTGCGGACTTTCTGGGGTTAAATGAAAGGCAAAATAAGGAAGATGATTTTGTTTGGCTGAACGAGCGTGAGAACAATAGATAGAGAAAGGGTTTTCAGAGAGATGTTTCTTAACTGTCTCGAACAATGTAGATATGTTTCTTTTAGTTTTAGATGCCCCCCACCAACACGCCCAGTGGAATAGGGAGTGATCCGACTGGATATTTAGAAATGTACAAGTCGACGTGGTTAATAAAACTAGATAAGCAAAATTATCTTTGTTGATGTCTTTTATCTGCGGACTCCAAAACATTTCGCCACCCATCCGGGAGAAGAGAGGGAAATACAACACTACCCCCCTCCCCGGACCTGCGAACAACATTAAGAGGTGGTTTCATGCTCCTCAAATTCTCTCAATCAGAGGTCTCACTGCCGGATGTAGTTTATCGTCATACTCAGGACGGTTGAAGAGAAAATAATGACATAATCAAGACGTTGACATTCTACATGACATCAAATAAAATGGATGTGTAGTAATCAGTTGTGGTCGAAGGAAATATTTTTGACTTTGAGGCCAACTTAATAAAATTTCCTCCGACGTTAAAAACTTAAAAAATGTAATAATGCATAAAAAATAAAACTGTATCTATTTATGTCTCATTCAGGCCTCAATGCATCGATCATTTTAAAAAATATCCTTGAATTGATAGGAATCTTTTTTTAGCAAATTTAACTCATGTGTTTCGTTACTTTCACATGCTGCAAAGGTGAGCAAGCTTGTCTCGCTATGTCAATAACGACTGAATAGTGAGTTCGATGCATACTGGACTCTCCTTAATTTCGGCCTTGTACCACATCTAAGCTACGTTTATTAAATCACTATACCTAAAATATGTATCTATTAATATTCAGAACACATCTCACGAATAATCACAAAAAAAGATCGTTTGTTATTAGTGAAACAAACCGCAGAAAATATGAAAAGATTCACCAATATTTTGAAACCGTCCACCAGTTCTCAGAGTACGGGTTCCATTGTGTGCGACGCAGTGACCGTTACTGGGCTGGCTTGTCAACTGACCTCATTATTAAACAAGTGATGATAAAATCCATAAAGGGCAGAGGTGAAATAACTAGGGTCGAGGGTTTACAGAATCAATGAGATTGATGTGGGTATATATCATGCACACGCGCACCTAAAGGCATGATGCCATGACAACACAGAACGGTCTTGTCCATAGAACCAGCGAGCATCACACAGAGCTGACCAGCGCACGTCAGATATGAGATTTTGTTGATATGACCAGTTTCTTCATTTAGATCTCTCAACACAACCCCTTTAACCCAAGCCAGCCAGAACTCCAATCAGTATCATCTGTTTTGACAGCATCCGATGGTGCTGGAATCAATTGTGATATTGTTGAGGAGATTGGTCACTCTCTCCAGAAGAAGCTTGACAATGTGAACATTTTAGAGAGCTCACTGAAAAGAAGTTCTCAAGTGCGTATTCTTGCTGAGATGAAAAAATGTCTAATGATTGATGGCTAAAATGTTTATGTTCATTCTAATGCTCTGTTTGTAAGGCTGGTTGTTCCGCTGGAACATCCAACTTCAATTTTCAAGAATTCCCAAATGAGAAAGACAAACAAGGCCGTGATGAAACATCATCCAACCACTGACGTACCTAAATCTCAGCCAACAACTGACACAATGTTTGTTTTATATGAAGGTGATCTCCTCCACCGAGTGAAGTGGTTGCCTAGGGTGACATACAGCAACGTGGTTGCACGGTACCTGAGCTATGTGAAGGCCAAGTATGGGACTTTAAGCATAATTTTTGATGATTATGCAGGCCTGTCCATAAAAGACCCTGAACATCAGCGAAGAGCAGCTCGGTCTTTTGCTAACCTACTAACCAAAGATAGATTGCAAGTTGCTGTTCCTTAGCTCTTCATCTCAAATGAGAAGAACAAAGATCAGTTTATCAAGATGTTATGTCGATGCTCGGGAGAAGACGATCATCAGGTGGTCTAAAGAGATGGAGACGCAAACACGGACGTTGTTTCTGAAGTGTTCAGACTAGCTACTGAGGGAGATTTAGCGACTCTAATAGCTGATGACACAGACATCCTTGTTCTTTTACTTTTCCTCCGACATGGCTGATATCTATATGCATTCCAAGGGAAAGAAGAAGAACCTACTCAGCACCAGTGAAATCACAGAGAAGAAAAACTCCTACGTTCTGCAAAACTTGCTTGTCATCCACGCAGGTTTGCATGTGACTCAACGTTAGCTGTATTTGGGCGTGGGAAATGTGAGATAATCAGGCTTATTCCTAAATCAAAGGAGAGCTAGGCTTGATACGCTACTTTAACTGATGCAACTGCTTCTCCTGCCCAAGTTGCATGGGTTTGGCCGCAGACTTTTGTCAAGGTGTATGGAGAAAAACTAGACGATACATTGAAATCCTCCAGGTACATCAAGTATATGGAGTATACCGCAACATCAACTAAGAAGGTACAGACTGAAAGACTTCTTCCAACTAAACAGCATTGGTCCACAGTCTCCATGTCCAACTTCAAGATATGATCTGGAAGACTTTAGCTCATTGCCATCTTAATGCTTGCAGCTGGGGGTAGAAAATGAGAAATGGTACTTTAGTCCCAGTTCTTACCGATCTAGATCCTTCACCTGAGGAACTACTGCAGTTTGTGCATTGTAAGTGCAAGATGTTGTCCAAAAGTCCTTGCAGCACAAACATCTGCTCTTGCCGGAAACATGGTCTCACATGCATTACAACAGTGATTATAGGAGCCCTGATTGCAACAACGTCAGTCTAGCTCTACAAGAAGAGGAAGAATGGAAAGATGATGCTAATTTATGATTAATGTTTATTTCAGACCATTTACATTGTTTGATTTGCTATTTTTGTTGGTGGAGCTGGGAACATTTCAATACTCATTTGTGGCATCTTGTAACCTTTTTTGATGAAGTGCTATTTTCTGGGCCTAGTATTTTTTGCAATAGTGTTAGAATTAAAGATTTCAAATTCTATAATTTTCTGTTTTTTATACCAAGGATCACATTTTTGGCAGACATTAAAAAGATGTAAAAAGACATTTTTTTTAATAAGGCACCCCCATTGTTGGAGTGAGCTATCAGATTGCTTAGCAAAACAAGACTTTCATGCCTCAATGTCATGAGTTATTTTTATGTATTAGTTTTCGTCATTCTCTAATCATACCTTGCTTGTAGCATACAAGACTGTCAACTCTTCTTTGAATAGGTCCTATGATTTACTGACCAAACTGCTAAAAAGGAAAACATCAAAGTGAAGATAAAATTATGCTGCCAATTTCTCTCTATTTAGTCAGTTACATGCCATGCGAGATACACGCTTAGGCGATCATGTATCTTTCGACACATGACTGACGAGGCAGATTTTTTACTGCAGTAGGTTACCATTTCTTTCTGCGGTACACCAGTTGCCATCCAAGGCTATAGATCCCAGTCTGTCCGGCTATTTACCCATAGCGGGGGGTGGGCAAAGAAAAGAATTCATACCTTTCCCAAGGGTATTAGTACATAAGTGAATGTAATGGATTTCAATGTAATTCGAAATTGGCTCTCTGATTTCT